CCAGACTAGACGTCGCGCCCTTATTTCTTTATGTAGGTAAAATAATGGCGCGACGTCATTCTGAAACACACCTAGCCGGATTGAATAGAACCCCTCCTCCCCGCATGGCTTATTTATGTTGGTTTTTAATTTATAATTCGCTTAAATCGCTCTAAAAAATAAGAAACATCATTTTCAAAAACTGAAACCGCGTTGAAATCCACCTAGCCGTTTCCAACATAATCGCATCCTACTAAACCGCGATTTTCTGTGAAACTACCACCTGCTACAGAAACAGGTTACCACCTGTTCAAATTTAAAATGTTTTCGTCAAATAGTTTGCACGGATACTAGTGTAATAATAATAATAATAAACTTTATTTCCAATTCCAAAACAAGTATATATATATACAAACAAACAGTAAAAAACCAAAACGATATACATAGAAATGAAAATTAGCGATGTTTCGTCTGACGCAAAATTGCGACAAGACGCTTTTCAAACATAACCTTTACATTACATTAAACACAAAAAAAAGAAGCACAATTGATCAAATGAACTCAAAAAATAAACTACAAACAACAAAAGAACAACGGTAAATTAAATTTTCCCTAACCTTAAAAAAGAGAAAAAAAAAAGATAAAACAAAAACTTAATATTATATGAAATGCAGACCCATCATCAAACGAAGCAGAAAAAACAGAGAAACAACAGTTCACTGTTACATTGAATAATTCACTGAAACAGCCACAGAGCTTGAAACTGCGACAGGCATCAGGCACGAAAGCCAGAGAGAGCACAGAGGTATCGTTTGTACTTGATTTTAAATTGTTTCGACGCGCATTTTTTAAACTCATCCGGTAGCGAATTGTATTTCAAGACTATCTGATATGAGAAGCATCGTTTAAAAAACTCTATCCGGTGTGCAGGTATTTCCAAGCAAGCCTCTATGTCTGAGATTGAGATTATGCACATCTGTACGATAAGTTAATTTTTCGTACAAATATGGTGGTGACTTATTGGTGATAATTTTGTGATACATACATAAACAATGCAATAATCGTCGATTCTCCATGTTTAACCACTTCACTTCTTTTAATTTGTACGATATAGGTTGACGGCTACGAATACCATATATCAATCTCAGACACGATTTTTGCATTTTCTGTATTCTACCCACATCCACCGCTGACAAAAAAGCGCCATAAACAGTGTCGCAATAGTTAAATCTAGACAGCACTAGTAGGTCGCATAGTAGTTTTTTTGTATTTTGATTTAGTGAAAACCTGTTATTAAAAATCACCTTTAGTGCCGCGAAGGCCCTCTGTATGGTGAGATTGATATGCTTTGTAAACGACAGCTGACCGTCCATTATTACACCCAGACTTTTCACCGTATTTTGTACTTCAATATGTTGTCCATCTATAACTAAGGTTATTGGGCCTAAAAGTGAGCGCGCATGATCCGTGCCAAAGACAGTAGCTGTAGTTTTAGCGCTATTGATGTGTAGGGAGTGATCTCTCGAGAATTGTAAAATATTTGATATATCGTTGTTAATAATACCCATGGCGCGTTGAAGATCTGAAGGTAGAAACGAGTAATAAATCTGGGTGTCATCAGCGTACGAGTGAAAATTACAATGTTTTAAGCGTTCTGACATTGTAGATGTATATGTATTGTATAGAATAGGACTCAGAATACCACCCTGCGGTACACCAGAGACCAGGGGCTGTGGACGGGACAGTTGACCATTCAGAATCACTCTCTGTGACCTACCCTTTAAATACTGGGAAAGCAGTGAGAGGGAATTCTCACCGAGACCGCTGTAATGCAAGATGGAGATAAGGGTATCAATGTCGATTGAATCAAAAGCTTTGGAATAATCGATGAGGACCAAGACTGTAACCAGGCCCCTGTCAGAGGCGCGGACGATGTCATCACAAACATGCAGTAAAGCTGATTCGCAGCTATGCAAAGGTTTAAATCCAGATTGTAGATCCGGTATAATATTATTTTCGGATAAAAACAAACGTAATTGTGTTTCCAGAATCCTTTCAAAAATTTTGGAAATAGTTGGCAACAAACTGATAGGCCGCATATCTGAGTAGGAGATTGGAGATTTTATTTTTGGAATAGGGACGATGTTAGCCACCTTCCACAAAGAGGGAAAGGTATTAGTTTCAATACAAGTATTTATGATATGGGTCAGGAACGGAATAATGTGAGGAAAACATAGTGTTAACATGAACTGTGACACACCGTCCGCGCCAGCAGAAGTGTTTTTCATTGTAAGAAAAACCCTCTCGACCTCCGCCTGAGAGACCAATTTGAATTCAAAAATATTTACTCCATCTTTCCGATCATTTAAGTAGGAATTTATCAATTGTTGTGAAGTAGTGGCTGGCGGCAGGGCGGAAATGAAGTAATCATTTATATCATTGACATTTGATAAGGTTTCTGGTAGCGACGGCTTATTTTTCAAAATACCTATCTTTCGTAAACGTTTCCAGACATCTGAGGACGCATCCCCCGGTCTACACATACGAAAGTTGACATAAGCTCGCTTTTCGTCTCGAATAACACGAGCCGTAAAATTTCTTAATTCTTTATATTCGTTATGATCCGTAACAGCCCTGGTCCGTTTCCATCTACCCTTAGCTTTATCCCTCAAAGACATTAAAAATTTGGTATTGCTTGTTAACCATGGGCTAGCATTCGAACGGCGTGTAGTTGTTTTAACAGGTGCGTGAATATCAAAAAGATTTATTAAATTATTGGTAAGAAAAGATACTTTATCATTAACATCTAGAATACGGTAAATATTGTTAAAGGGAAATGCTACGAAATCACTTAAGAATTTATTTTTATCAAAATTACCGAAATCACGATACCGTTTGAACGTAGGCTGTTCAGTAGATTTTATAAAAGTTAGCTTGCAATAGATTAATTCGTGATCAGAGATAGCGTCAGCGTTTAGTGTATCTACATGAGTAATTAAATCTAGGTTCGATGTTAAAATGATATCAATGATCTTTGAGGTCTTTGGCGTAACTCGAGTTGGCTTATCCATTAGTTGTTTAATATCAATCCCTTCTATCATGTCATTGAATCTCAAAGCATCATTGTCATTTAAGTTTGACATATCAATATTTATGTCCCCCAAACAGAGGACCTCATCATGCGTTGGAAGTAAAGATAATAGCTGCGATTCTAGTTCCTCCGTGAATGTGCGACAATTAACTTTAGTGTGTTGGCGGTAAACTACCCCTACTAGAAATTTAACCTTACCTAGCTCGACACTCATCCAAAGCTGCTCAATTTCGTTACCTGAGGGAATGAGTGTAAATTGCAAAGAATTACGGATGTAGAAACCCACTCCACCGCCGTGAGTTGAACGATCTTTGCGACAATAAATGTAATTGTCTATGTGCAGGTCTTCTGTACTAATGCCATCATTCAACCAAGTCTCTGTGACTGCCAATATATCAAACTGTAAATGGAGCCACACAGTTAGCGGATAGAAAATAACACACACGATAATGTGGAATAGAAAATAATGTTGCAAAAATGAAATTAGACGTGGATGAGAAAATTTCTGGATATAGGGTGCATAAGCGCAAACTAAAGAGGTATAAAATAATAAGCGCAGGACTAGATATACGAGAAAAGCTCCATATCCCCTGTTGGAATCACGATCATGTACCAAATAAGTAAAACTAGTCAAGTGCCACAAGAATGCGAAAGATATAAAGTTAGTATGAACAAAACAAGATGGAATGGGTCTGGAGAGACTATATTAAGTAACGGTTCTTCTGTTTTATAGTCTGGAAATTTCCTAAGAAATGCAAAAAGTGAAAAGGAAGTGACTTTTATGATGAGTAAAGATATTAAAAAATCTCTATTAGAACGCGAACTAGTCTCAGAAAGAATATGGGCACGCTTCCAAAATAAAAATCGGAATAGCCTCTTAATAACAAATGTATATGTCGTAGGCAAATTACAAAATCCGGCTTATTACAATAAGCGCCGTCATTTTGCAATGTGCCTGGCAAATTGGAAAATTATCTCACATTTTTTAATCGGCCTAAAATTTCTTAGGCTTATTATAATAAGCGCACATACAGTTAGGCTAATTAGAAAGTGAGCACCAGTTTCATCAAAAAGCCTGGTGGTTTCTAGTCTTATTGCAATAAACCTAGGCTAATATAAGTTCACTAAAATTATACCGAGAAAATTACCTGACCTTAAAGTATTCTTGAAGTATTTGAACTAATTATAGGTTATTTTATGCAAGAAAGTTGAAAAACGACAATTTTTGATGAACAAGTTTTTATTGATAAACATTTATCACATATTAACTAAACAGATCATTCAGATCAATGTTAAAATAGAACATATAATACAATAATAATATAAAGAAAATTAAATTAACAAAAACTTTTTTAAACTTGTGTTTTATTAATTAACACTAATTTTATTTTCACTTATTTCCACATGGTAAACTCTTATGGCATTTTGATGAACACATTTGCTTTGCTTTCCTGCACACGCACTTTTTTGTTTGGCATTGGGTTTTTGACACTGTACACTTACAGGTATTATAGCCTTGACCTCCAAACATTGACTCATTTGCTACAGCTTGACGAACAGATATATATTCTTCGGGGATATCTTCAACAAATTGTGCGCCAGAAATTTGGAAGTCACTTCTAGAAAACCATGTTTTGATAATTCCACTCTTTGTTCCTATCTGATAAACATCATTATTAATTTTAAGAATTTTTCCAATTAAATTTGGTGCGTCTAAAGGGCCACGGTCGACTTTCGGCACATTTAATA